GATTGGCTCCTCCCTTTGCTTCGCTTTGCCTTCCAGCAGCTTGCTGCTTCCCTCAGATACGCAACTAAGCACGGGGGAGGGGCGGCAGCGGGAAGCTAGTGTATGCCAGCCTGTGGCTTTCGCGTGGGAAGGCCTTCAGGCTGGCATACGCCATGTGGCCGAAAGGGGGTGGGCGGGGTGGCAGGAGGCTAGTGTATGCCAGCCTATGGCTTTCGCATGGGAAGGCCTTCAAGCTGGCATATGCCATGTGGCCGAAAGGGGATGGGTGGGGCGGAGGGAGGTTAGCGTATGCCAGCCCACAGCTAAAAGGGGGTGGGTCGGTGGTGGCGGCAGCAGGCTAGCTCTCCCTGCAGGGCCAGGGTGCCAGCGCCGCCACCACCACCCTCCGAGCATAACTTCTTCTTCGGCTTCCAAACTCCAATCTTAGCTGCCGAGTCTTGTGGGCCAGCTGCTGGACAGAGAATCTTTCGGACAGAGAGTCTTCCAGCAGCCAACCCACAACCATAGANTCAATTTTTCGATCTTTTTCGTCGCGTTGTGATGACGTCACGCGATTTCGTCAACCGCGCTTTTGTGGAACGCGGTTTTGACAGGTCACGGGTCAGCTTGACTTCAGCTGCTCAAGTGTATCATGACTAGCCACCAGTGTTCTTAGCGAAAGGAGGTCTCCATGGCAGATGATCTTGTTACGTTCTGTTGCCATACTCTGGATTATGATTTACTGCAGCATTTGTTTTTTTCCCTAAAGGTTAACTTCTGACCCCCTCAACTTTCTGGAAGTCTCAAAAAGAACCATCCTGAAGCTTCTCCAGCACCACTCTTGAATCTGCTACTCCTTTTCTCTTACTCTCCCTTTTTTGGATCTTTATGATGTTTTAATTCATTCTTCCAGGCAAACCGCCTTTGTCTCTGCTTCCTGGTTGTTGCTTCTTTTACCATTAAGATTTTTTATTCCTAATATTTATGTCATGTCATGCCCTATAATCTGAAACAATAGAGAATGGGTCTTGATTTTTTTAAGATCTATTTTTCCTTCAGGTATTTGAAAAGTATTATTGTGTCTCCCTCCATTTCATCATTTTTTTAAAAGTCTGAATTTATTCAACTCTTTAATTCTGAGAATTTGGAACCATGGGTTGGAGCCAATGCTGCTAATGTAGGCTAAAATTACATTTTGCCTTATTTGGTACCACATCATCTGCACAGTCCCTTCCAACAGCCACATTGTGGAGGGAATCTCCCTGGAGAATCTAACTTGGATCACGTTGCAGGTAAGGAAGGGCTGTCTGAATGCAGCAAAGTCCCAGGAGTTCCCTTCATTCATCATCATCTGTTACACTCAAACTGTTACAATCAAAAAGATTTATTCCCCTTTCCCTTCCCAGTCAGCTGAGAAAAACTGAATGCAAATTCCATATTTATTGGGATCAGCTTCATTTTGTTGCTGGATAGCAAATCACACAATAGTGATACCTTTTTATTTAAGAGACTGATACCCATTTTATTTAAGATGGATACCCATCTTATACGCAACATCCCTGGTTGGGTCCATGCATAACAATAAACTATAAAAACCAACAAAATGATAGTAACCACAAACTGTAAAGCATATCGTACCAGCAAAACCATTCTTCCTCCACACCTTCTGAACTCTAGTCTCAATCTAGAGTTTGAGTATCGGGTTTGAATAAACTAGTTTGAGTAAACTAGTATTGGAGGAAGAACTAGTTGTTTGTGGGGTCCTTATCACCCAATAAGGGGATGGAGGGAGGATGCTGCAACTCATAGAAAATCATCTATCATTTGGCAGGGGCAGCTATGGTAAAGGTACACTAACTAGGTCTCACTGGGTGACAACATCTAAGTGAGGGGACCTGGAGGCACCCACTCTATCTGACTCAGTCAGATGGGCATGCACCCTCAGAAAGAGACCTTCTTGCAATTATCCTGGTCTCTGCTATTTGTGGCTTGAAAAGTGATAACCAGCACTTTGTATTTAACCTGAGAAAAAAAATCCATGCAGCATGACAGCCAAAAGAATAGCTGTACAGCCTGTTACATGAGTCCATGAGTCCTAAGGGACTCATGCTAAGCGACAAAATTGAGCTGCACTGTGAGCAAACCCTCTCACTCTAGGAATGGGCAAAGTTGATGCAGGAGATGGCTCTGTGCAAAGCCAGCTAGCCACAGCTACCAGTTAAACCTCGACAACAGGGAACCCAAATTGCTCCTCGAACAATAGTTGTAGGTCCAGAGAGATCCCACAGCAGCTATCTCTTGGGGAGCGCTTATCCCACTGAGAGTCAGGGTTGAGGTGGCTGGACCCTGTTCCTCCCTATGCTGAAATTCAAAGCCTCCAAGTACTGTGTAACCATATGAGTAGCCAACAGTAGATGAAACCATGAGGTGAGGTCATTCGGCAGGATATGGTGAATGCAGTATTATGTGGTCCTTTGCATGTGCCTTTCAACTTAACCTAGAATGGAAAGAATGGGAGGCTTTCTTTGCTGGTGTCCCAATACTAACTGTCTTTGCTGCAGAATCAGTGAGCCTCCCCAGAACTCCGATTTCTAAAATAACGTCTTAGGAGGAAGGCTGCCCCTTGCATGAAGATAATGTGCTCCACTTCACGTGTGGGGAGCAGAGTCTGAATTCTTCCCTCACAGACGAAGTGGCAAGGGGCCCATGCTCCTCTCCAGCATCTTTGCTCAGCCAGGGAGGTCACTGGATAGAAAAGCAAGCAAACTTTCCTATCCTTGGCATATGCCACAGTGTGTCTTGATGGTTTGGTAGTGGCAGCCCGCTCGGAGCTACCTATGCAAGGAGAGACCCATTCTGGTAGTCTGCCCCAGATATCTGTTGGATAAAGTTGATTTCTGGTGAGAGTCTGGTTTACCAGTGATCCTGGTCTCTTGGCACAATTGCTTATGAATAGTAAGTTTGTTTAGGTATTTCCTTTGTTTGATTGTAAATTTACTT